GAGAGAGAGAGAGAGAGAGAGAGAGAGAGAGAGAGAGAGAGAGAGAGAAAGTGTGCCACATCCCTCTCTGACTCAGCCAAGGCCCTGACGCCCATCTGTTCCCGCAGGAGCCCTTCCGGGGACACCGACTTCTACATGAATTACAACGGTGACAACCTGGACCCTCAGCCGGTCTACTGCAACCTGGAGTCCCTGGGAAGGGCCCCAGGGTACAACCAGGAGTATGTGGCCCCAGGGCGCTGAGACCCCAGCCCCTCCCTCCGTGGGGACAGAACACTGAGCCCTGAGACTCCGCCGCTGAAGCCCCCACGCTCCCCAGGACTCTCAACGTCAGAGGGGGTGCTAGGACCCCCAAAGTGTGAGGAGGGTCTCGAGCCGAACCCACGGTCAGTGGGCAGGCAGGTGGTGCTCAATAAATGCTGTGGGCCACATGGGGCTAAGTGCCTGACTGACCCGGATTCCACATCCCCATCTGGGATCCCAAGTGGCTCTGCATCCATCTGGTCCCCCTACCCCCTCCTCTGCCCCCTCCCCTGCCCTCTCCTCCCCTCCCCGCCCCCCTTCCCTCCCCAGCTCTGGCTTCCTGGGTCAGAGGCTTGTAGCCTGTGTGGCTTCCCCTGCCTGTCTGTGTGTCCTTTTTCCTTTCCTTCTGTCCTTCCCATCTAGGTTCACTGCTCACCAAATAGACGGACAAACAAATAAACAAAAGGAGCCTAAAGACACTCCAAGGCTGTGGCGGTTGCTCTTGGCTTTCAACCTGACTGCATCTGGAATTAATTAAAACCTAAGACGGAGGGCACACCTGTTTAACTCAAAGTGGGAAGATCCACTTCTTTTCTTTCTTTTTGTTTATTTGTTTTGTTCTTCAAAATAGGGTTCCTCTGTGTAGTCCTGGCTGTCCTGGAACTCAGTGTGTAGACCAGGCTGGCCTTGAACTCACAGAGATCCACCGAGTGCTGGGATTAAAGGCATGTGCCATCATCATTACCAAATGTTGGGTTTGGGGTCTCGAAATAATGGGGGACAGACCACCAGAGTCTATTAAACCAGAGCAAAGGTTATAAAAAATTAAAAATTAGGGGCTGGAGAGACGGCTCCGAGGTTAAGAGCACTGGCTGATCTTCCAGAGGTCCTGAGTTCAATTCCCAGCACCCACATGGTGGCTCCCAACCATCTGTAATGAGATCTGGTGCCCTCTTCTGGCCTGCAGGCAAACATGCTGTATACATAATAAATAAATAAACCTTAAAAAATTATTTAAAAAAAATAAAAAATTAAGAAAATAAAACACCATGGGGCACAAAAGCTTATCAGCTAATTGAGACCACAGCCAATGTTGGAATTCTGTGCCTGTGACAATGGAGGTGGGTACTGGCCTTTCATAGTATCAGGTACGGGGTGCATGCTAACAGTCACGGAGAAACATCAGGTACGGGGTGCATGCTAACAGTCACGGAGAAACATCAGG